AGAATTAAAATTAATTCAAGAAAGATATGGAGAACGAACAGTATTCAATCTCAAAGTCCATTGAACAATATACAAAATAAGAGCAGAGCAAACACGGACCTCCGAAACATCAGAGGTGGGATCAGATGCCATGGAGGAGTGAGCATCCCCTGCCGAAGTGTTGATTTCAGCAGAGTATAAAGGGGTATAATTCATACAATATCTACTGTCGTAATCAATATAGATTTATTTTCTCAATGATTCGTTTAACTGAATTTAATTGACGAAACAAAAATCAATTGCACCTATTTGATTTCTTGATTTAAATTAATGTCAATCCCTGTGTTTCATTGAATAAACAAGTCATTTTCAAACAGATTTGAATGTTGAAAATTGAAATTTGAAAATTGAAAATATAGTCTCTGTAAGCATTTATACCTGACGCCCATGTATTTAATGAATGCGACACCCATTTTTCTTTACTTAGAAAACAAACCTGCTGAATGAAAGTTTTTTATATTCTTTGAGGCAGAATATTTTTCAAAATCTTATACGTGAAAGAAGGGAACATTTGCTGTGACCTTCAACTCGACAGTTAGATATATCGACGATGTTAATTTCTATTCCTACGTAGATACGATACATTCTGGTGAGCTTGAGACACATCTGTTTCATACTTGAATATTTTACTTAAAAACGTTAATGGTAATCTAACAAGGTACCAATTTCATACCAATCGTTAGTCCATTATTTATACACTAAATTGACTACGGATTTTTCCGTTTGATCCCAACAAGGAGGACAGGCCGGCCGGCTCACTCCTCTCTGACATTTTATGCCACCTCTGATGTTTCGGAGGTTCGTGTTTACTCTTCTCGTATTTTGTATTGTTTTATGGACTTTGGGATCGAACACTTTTCGTTATCTTCATATTCGTCCTTTCACCCTTTCTCATTTTGACTAATTAAAAATGATTTGTCTTTAATGACAATAGCACAATGTTGTAAGGAATGTAAGAAAGTCTTAAAAATTCGTTTTAATCAGTCATATTATCAAAACTTATACAATGTCATTGATAAGACACTAGTATTCTTATATATACATGCAAAAGATCACCCTTCTTCATGAATAGGTATTTAGAAAAAAAATCAAGTCTCATATGTTTGTGTTACCTATTTTCCTGATGATTCACGCTTGTATGATTAAAAAAAATTATAAGTTGTTAAATTCCAATCAACTCCTTACGTGTACTGTATATATTCAATTATTAAAAAATGATTGCTTCCAGCCTTTTACATTACGTTAATTTACAACGTTTTTCATGTGTCACAAACAGCTTCTCTAAGACAAGAGAGATAACTCTAGATTTAATTCGGTTCAAATTTTAAATTTTAAATTATGCATCAACTAAATTACTATGACGCTGTCTACTAAATGTCGTCTAATCTTTGTGAACTTATTTATGTTGGTGAAAACAAGGGTTCACTTTATAAAAGATATTTAAAGTATTAAACACAGTGTTAAAGGTTCAGCGGGTTTTTAATTCCAGTAAATAAATAATCATCTTTATCTTTTCAACTGGTCCTACAAACATCAAAGTATATAACCTTAACGATATATACAATACTCGTATTCATATAATAGGGTTATTGGATTTATATTAATGAATATTGGCATAAGTTAGTTGTACAAATACACTCGTAGAGCTCAATATTCATCAACATAAGTTCAGTAACCCCTTTTTTATAAAGCTAAACAATTCCTCATATCTTTTGGAATGATTTGCTTATTTAGGTTTAAATGGTTCTAATAAATACTAAATTTAAATAAATATGTCATTTTTGTGTACAAAAATAAACATATCCTACCCAGATTACAGTTTCTTTCTTAAATTTGCCTCTTAGAAATTGACCAGACGACTCTTTTATTTATAACGGGGCTTTCGATAATGAACTTTCATATTCGGAATGTTTCGGGCATACTCGTACACGATATAAAAACTCAGCATTCAATAAAATGTCAAGATATTGAACGCCAAAATTCTCTATATTTTTCGTAGTGTTTAATTAGAGACTATTCCTGAACTATATAATAAAATGATTTATATAACACACTTATAAAAAAAAAACAGTTTCTTACTGATAAATAAGTATCTATACGAATTAACGCAATAACTAAATAGATGTATTACCCATTGATTGAATTTATATAGTGTTTGCCATTGAACCTATTTCAAGATGAAAATTTAGACATAGAATCATGATCATCAGAATACAATGTCATGGTATCCAGAAGTATGATCTATTATATATAAATTTGTTTAGATGTATACAATAAATAAGAAACTAGTTCAAAATCTTGGATTTTCTTACTTAACCCCCACCCCCTCCCTTTCTAAGAAAAATAATAATGAACACACATTATTACTGTGTACTTCAGTTGAGAAAAAACAGTCCAACGAAATGTGTATCAAATTATATCCATCTTTTAAAATGTTTACAATTCATGATTTGATAACAGATTTTATAAAAGGTTTTGCGATGTAGCTTGAAATCAATTTAGATTCAAAGGCAGACCGCTCCACATGAAGAAAACAGCAACAGAATAACAACTCTTTAGTATATGTATGTAGTGTAGAAATGATTTTCTTCTACAAGTTAAATACAATGAGGTTTCCATTTGCACAAGATTTTCAAAATAAATAGTTAATATATAATATAATGTTATACCCACAAAGCTATTGCTCCAGATGTTTATTCCTTCCCACGCAGATATTGATTGATTTAGTCTGACAAGCATTTTAAAAAGATGTAACTTGTTTCTTTTTTTAGGTCACAAAAGGTAAAAAGCTTTTATGAGACAATGAAAATAACTCTTCATGATTTATCTCGTCAGGTTTTACTTCAAGAGTTCCTCATAACTTTTTTTTCAGATAATTTGCTGTTTTGACTTCAGTAAAATATCAGTTATTTAAATCGGATATCTATAATATATTTCAGTCAAAAGAATTCATACGCACTTTTTTTGAACTGAAAAATACATATATGCCTACAAATTAAAAAAAGTCAAAAGTTGAATAAAACCTTTACTTTTCTTCTCCATACGACACTTTGACACATTTTCATGTTTACAGAAAAATGGCCCTGTTATTATTTTTACTTTCAAAGAGAGTTGCTGAAATTGTTTCCTGGATTTAATTATCTAGTGATGGTTAAAGAAATACCCAATGCATTCATTTCAATCTAATGTCAAGAGACCTTCCGATTGTAGTAACATTCCTGTTGAGATAGATTGTTACAGGTAAAACATAGAAAAAATCATCTTTGGAATAATAAAAAGGTTAAAACAGAAAAGGAGAGGGGTTATTTAGTTTTAAATTATTGGAAAATTGGTAATAGGTCTTTTTTTTGAAAGAAATATGACGATATTACCTCGTTTGAAGTTGCTTTTAAAATATTCTCAATTTTAAAGCCAATTTTGGTAGGAAAATTGTCTGATCGTCTACACCAAAATAAAAATATAAGGAATGAATCTTATTTAAATCCATGTTTTACAACATAACATTTTTTTAACCGTTATACACGTAGTGTATTATATAAAAGAAACTTCACTCCTCAAACGTTATCATTAACATTTTAACATACATGTATTTACAATGACTTGTTGATGTGAATTGAAGTGCATGAAACTTTATATAATTTGAAAACATGAAATTGTAAGAGCGGGAACATCTTAAAGATTAAAGCATAACCTGTTAGATGACGAATATACCTTTGTATTATTTATATCATTTGACAATTTTGATCGCCATTAATTCACAATCTTTACAATGTTCCCCTAGCATGGGATATCCGGAACAGAGATTTGATATGCTCCCCGGGATTTGTCAATGTGAGTGGTTGGTATTTATTTTTCCACAAGGAACCGACGTCCATGTTGAATTCCAGTGACTTGTGTCACCAGCAGGGGCCTGACATGGTCGTCCTAGATTTAGAGGAGAAAGAAAAAGTACTCACCAAATATATTGAAAGTAAGAGAACAGGAGTGGATCATGATTTTAGAATAAGCTAACGAAAATTTTAATTTTTTAATTTCTTACTGCCTGAGTCTTGAAATCCCCCTACATTTGTTTGGTTTCGATGTTGAACAAAATAAATCAGGACAACTTGTTTTACAATAATTAAATTAATTTTTAGAAAACTGTTTGGCTTACATTCAGAAGCTTATAATGGTGTCTAGATTAGAAATGAAATTTATGTAAACCCTTCCTTTTGAAGAAAACTTCTTTTCTGGAAATTGAAATTGATATATATTTAAACTACTTACTGCTGAGACGATAACGTGCATGAAATTGCGCATTAGCTCTAAGGTAACAATAACTATTATATACAAATACAAGTCTTAAAAGGTTTGAATCTGATTTGAATATTGATAAATCGTAATTTAAGATCGAATATCGAACTATGCTTACATACTCTAAATCTCAAGTACAAACAAAAAAGAAAAAAGAGCCCATATCAACTTAAAAAACATAAAGGAGGGTTTGCTTCGAAATTACATACAGGCAATTATATAGTGGAATTATTTTTTTTTCTTGGTTTCAGAGATGATTTTTTTCAACATTATCAAGGAAAAAATGTAATTGTGTGAGAGAGAAGAGAGAGAGAGAGAGAGAGAGAGAGAGAGAGAGAGAGACTTGGAATATATTTAAAGAAAAATGCGTTTGCCATTAAATCCTTGGAAATGTTTTTGTTTTGGAAATGCTAGCGGCAGATAAGAATCCTCTAATTAATAATGTTTGAATGTAAAGCAAGCCCAATGCTTATTACTGCATGGATATGTTCAGTAATCTGGTTTTATCTCTGCCACAGCCCTTAACCAGACATAACCTATACCATTCTATCACATTAAGAGGATCACTATTACAGGAACTCTCACAATAACATGAAGTTACAATAATATAAACTGTATTATATAAACAGAAAATCTATTACATTAACCTAAACTCTATTACATTAAAGGGTATATGCAATGCCTACTGTAATAATTTCTGTTTGTTACGATCGCCACAAAATGACCACAGCAAAAAACCGCATCGAAATCCGCGCGGTATTAACAGAGTTATTCCGCTTGTAAAATGTCTATTTTTACCTGCACCGGAAATCTAATTAAGAGAAAATAGAAACAGTCGAAAACGAGGCTCTGTTGTTGTGACGTCACTACGAGGACGATGGCGGCGAATACAGATAGCGATTGTAGCGTTTATAGTGAAGAAAACAGCGATGGGGAGGTTGGTTCATCAAGTTTTGAGGAACCGATCGATGAGATGACCAATTTGGGCACACAACCGTATCTTTTTGAGCCTGAAGCGAGTTCAGACGAGGAATCAGCGGCAGGACGTTCCCCGGAAGCCACAGATCAAGATCGACTTGGGAACAATGACTGGTAGTTATCTATCCTATATTTGTTACTAATGGGCTTTTATATTATTATTTAAATTGTTGAAGTTAGGCTATATGTTCATGATCAATTATAAATATAAATATTCTGTTATCTCTACTACGATGACTGTATATATTCATTGAAACTAGGTGTGGGGTATGATATTACATGGCTTCCTACAGAAGTCTAGCAATTATATCGCTAAATCTTAAAAAGGGGCCTATGGAAACTATTTATCCGATAAAATTAAAGTATCTAACGATAGTGGACTTTTCATTAGAATATTTTATCATGGTTTCTAACTTGTAAAAATCACAAATTCCTAATGTACATAGCATACACGTATTACACCATTACCAGACCATAGCTCTGTTCTGGCAGCCCTCTGTTTTACACAAACTAAAATAATGAAACCTTTTTCTTACATTCAATTTGAATTTTGTAATGCAACATGTCTTTCAGAATTAAAATTATTTATTGAATTTTAAATGGATAATTTATTGTACCAGTTATCACAATTTTTGGTCAAGGTTTTTGTAAGCAAATTCTTTTGAGAACTTGTCAGTTGTTACAAGTATGGTATGTTTACCCCCACCCCAAAGTTCATGACTGAACTAACTTTGATTAACATATTCAGATCACAAGTAATTTATTATTTCAAAGTTGAAACATTTCACTCTCCTATTAGAATTACAGACTGATATATTTTTAGGTGCAACTGTGGTCGCTGCCCCCCAATGACTACTATTGCCGAGTCTGTGTGCTGCCAGGAAATTCCACAAGTAATGACTGTACTTGAGGAGGATCCCGGGAAGCCCTGCATCACAGAGCATAATGGTTTCCAACCAGTCTGTCTCCATCCATCAGTTCTACGTACTGCATACTATGTGTATCTACAACAGTATGAAGAACTCCCCGAAACTAATCGGTTAGTATCATTGTCATTTGAAATGCAGATTATAATTTGAATATTGTTCACTACAAAAATATATAGATTTTTAATTTGATTGAAGACAAAAAATGAAGTCAGGTTTCATCAGTTCAAGAATCTTTAATGAATGAGACAACATTAAAATATATAAACAATATTCCTTGAGATCAAGAGTAAAATCTTTATATATAGATGTATATCATGCCTGCATGAATTGTAGATTCCATAGATCAAAAACCGATTTGCATATACATGTATATCAAACAAAGTACCATTAAAGGTCAAAACGAAACATACAAAATTCACAACTTGCAAGTAATGCAAGAATGAAACAATAACAAAGAAATAATTTAACACCCCCCTACAAGTTGTACATAAGTAAAAAGTCAAAAACAATGCAAGAATAATATATCTTAATCTATAGCCAAAAGGCAAGTACTTTACCTTGAATGAACAGCAAAATTAATCCAAAACTAAAGTTTAACTGAAAAAGCATACACAAAACAAACAGACAAAATAACAAAAATAAAAATAATTTTTAAAAAATCATAACAACAGACATCAACAATATGAAATAACTGAAAATTCATAAACAAAACTGACAAAACAACAATAGTCTATTAAAAAAAGTAGTCAAAACAGGGAATAAAAAAATAACTTAAAATGCATAAACAACAGTAAAAGTCAATAACAATCTTTAACATACACATGCCCTAACACACTTAGATATAATTACAAAAATATAATGAAAGGAATAGTGGATTTTTTCATTAAAAAATGTTTTAATCTTGTAATATTTTACAGGCGGATGCGTTACATAGGCTACAGGCAACTGGCCAGATGGTGCTGGGGATGGTTGGGGAGACAAGTACGGGTACCACTTCCTGCTTGTGCAGTCCAGAAAATCCGGGACACGTATCCAGAGGAAGATGGTGCATACCAAGGATTCGGCATGGCCTAATTCCTACGGAACCTTGTAAGCAGCTGACCCACCGCATCGTCTTTCTCGGGGAGTACATACTGGTCGCACAGGGGCGGTGGCGCAACTCTAGGGTCCCCACACTGTGGCATCTTCATGTTGCTGGCCCTTGTCTTAGCAGCATTTGTAAGAACATCGACATACTCTGTAAAAGAATTTATGTCCATCCAGTCTAAATTACCATATGTTAAACCTAAATATTTGTATGTATATATTTATCTGTGATATTACAATGAAGATATAAAATAAATTTACCATAAGTACTTTGCGTCTTGACCTTCTTCACAGTGTAGTCCCCCTTTTTGTGCTTTGGAAATACAATGCTGTATTGAAGATTCCCCTCTCTTGTTGCTGCCTGATCCTTACTGGAATTCTCATTGAAGTGAAGCGCTGCTAAGGCCAAGCTATAATTGAAAACAATTTGTTAATAATTTATTTATGTAAATCACATTATCATAAATCATATTTTTTCCCCGTATGTCACTGTCTCTTTGTAATGACTGTGTACAGTAGGAAATATAAATGGTAAAAGTTTTCTTCAATAAGCAAGACAACGTACCGACTTTGCATTCCAAAGTACGAGAACTTATACATCTTGGGCGCAAACTGATTGATTACTGAATGGAATGCCTCTACACTGGAGGTTTGAAATGATGATGAGAGCATGGGGATGTCCTTCTTCATCTGCCTGCTATTGACAATCGCTTCTAATTTCTCCATCACTTTGGTTCCTGAAAGATACAAAAATGTTTTAATTCTAAAAATTTTCAAATTTAAAATATGAAAAAAAAATTGGTATTTTTATTTTAATTTTATACATGTTGCACTAAGTCATACCCCACCCCCAAATTTAATTTTGTTCCATTATAGTAAATGTAGGAACTTGCAGGATTGTATAAGGGATCTTACCTGGTCTTAACCATCTTTTTCGTCTAGCTGCTGGGTCAAGGTCCCCATGTTCACACCGTTGAAAATGTTGCCCATGACCTTCGTGAATGTTCTGGACCTGGTTGGTAATACTGGTCCACTTTTCCCATCTGAGCTCACTGTCTTCGTCATCAGGTGCTGAGGAGGGTACCCAATACAAATGGTTGACCAGACTTTTTATCCACTCTCTTAGGTGCTCGCAATCCTTTTCTTTGCTTAGGGCCAACAGCTTCTTCTTAAATCCTAAAATTTAAAACATAACTTATATGTTCATCCTGTATAATTATGTTACCAGTAAGTAACGCTTATATCATGCTTTAACATTATCAAGATTAATGTGCAACATTTTCTCCCACCAATAGAAAAAGTAACGCTTTATTTTCATACCTTTTGCTACATGCCACACATCGATGCTATGTGTCGTATCTGGCAGGTTCTCCCGCATCCACTTCGCAACCTGAAGGTGTCTGTCCGTTACTATCTGGCTGATTGGTAAACCATTCTCTTCAAGGTAACGGACTCCTCTGATCAAACCCTCTTTCTCCATAAGGCAACTCCCCCCTACTTCGTTACTCTGAAATGCATTAAAAAATAAATTACAGTTCTAATATCACTTTAATTTACACCATAGAGAAGAAAAAATTCTTACATAATCATTAAACAATTAAAATAACATTTTATCACCCATAATTGTATTTACCTGTATAAGTTGGAGATCGACCACCACATTCTCTGCTAGGTCCATAAGCGTGTAGCTACCAAACTTGGCACAATGGCCAGGTGTATCTGCCCTTCCATCTCCACTTAAATGTAGCTGCCGTCCCGACGCCCGTGCTTCTTGTACATAAGAGGCTTCCTGGTCTCTCTATACTTTGTCCACTGCTGGATGGAGGTAGCACTGTTGGTGATACATAAAGGTCCCGTAAGAGGTGGAAACCATGTTCAAGAACTTAAACATTCTGACTGCTTTGCTTGGAAGAGATCCTGAAAACAGCAATGCACAGGATATTTCGAAATTCCCCGCAGGAATGCTACCAATTAGGGGCTGGCTACTCCAAGTCCGCTGGTAGAAACAAAATCTGCAGTCTTGAGTGATGGAGATGAAGGATCCCTTCAGTTGTTTGATCTCCCCATATGTTGGCTGTGCACAGGAGGGACAATTTGCAAAGAGTTCCATAAGCTGACACTCATAAACAAGGAATTTCCTGTCACGATCGCTCCTGAAATAAAAATATTATATATATTACAATGATGCTTCAAACCTTTGTACTGTTCGACATTATTAACTGACAAAATATAATAAAAATATGATCTAATTTTATAGGAAAAATTAATGGTAATCAGAGAGTTGTGATTTTCCCATTTTTGTGACATTTTTAAATTATTAGTGACTGAGAAAAAATTCAGGATTACCCAAGGTCACTCTCCACAGTTTCATCAGACTCGGTCGACTCGAAGGAATAGTCAGTTTCCTCCAGCTCATCCTGCTCACTTTCAGTCTCCTCTGAGGCAAATGACTAGTTGACAGGAACTTCTATAGGTTGAGCATGTAAAGGAGGAGCTGGTAGTAGATTACAACTCACGCCAATCTCCCTAGTTTTCACCTTTGGGACAGCCTGTACCTCTACAAAAAAACTGAATGTATTAGTATCATTTCAAAATAGCAAAATCTAATATTTTATCCATAGAATAAGTTTTATTAAATACAGAATTATAGTCAACATTAAAATAAGGATTGTCTGGATATCATGCCAAATTTTACCAATGAATTTTGTCGTTATGGATACTTACCTTTATCACAAGTCTTCCACTTGGTCTGAGTATAATGGGACCTTCTCTGTGGCTTCTGGAGGGAACGTTGACACCCCACAGATCTGGTTTCCTTGGGAGTAGCAATATCCTAAAAAAAAAAAAAAATGAAATGTATCCATAGATAAATAAACGATAATCATGTTTATTGTGGTAAATTTATGATATACCAGTTTTTTTCAAAAATTATATTATGAAACTTGAGACGGCTCTTTTTATTCCTGATTAAATCAAAATATTATTGTGATAAAACTAAATAAGAGTACACAAATAGTTACCTGTTCTACATCTGGAGACTGGTTAGGTACATCTGGAGACGCCTGAGATACATCTGGAGGCTCCTGAAGTACAGCCAGAGACGCGTTAGGTATATCTGGAGACTGTTGAGGTACATCTGGAGACTGTTGAGGTAATTGACATTAACAGGGACTCTATTACTTTAACAGAAACTCAATTACATGAACAGAAACTCAATTACATGAACATAAACTTTATTTTATTAGGAGGAAATCTATTATTTTATCAGGAACTCTATACGATTGCTCAAAAGGAATGGGATATTGAGGCTGAAAACAATGTTATGGGTCAGAATAACCCTAAATGCCAGCAAAGATCAATCACACAGTTTTAACTTAACAATAATTTATTTACAGTAATATACAAATCATTAAGTACAAACTTAGCAAAAATCTAAAAATACATACATCAGAGTGTCCGTTGCTGCACACAATGTCCCAGTGAAAATATATCCCAGTTGTAACTCAATGGTGCTCATACGACAAGAGTATATCTATGCATCGAATTGACAGGGTATTTATACAGTAATATAAATCTAGAATATTCTAGAAGTTGTACATGATATTCCTGGAAAAGTTCTGGACATGAATAAAGTTCAAGAATGTTCTAGAAAAAATGACTAAACATATTGACCACTCTGGAATGTTCAAGAAACTTAATGTTACTCATAAAATACATGATGAAATAATACAAATACAACACACCTCACAACACCTCCCCCCTTAAAAAGTTTGAATGTCAATGAAAACATAAAATTTATGTACATTAATACAAAATCTAATTTGTTCATGATACTCTGGACAAGGCATCTGCAATAACATTGTCTTTGCCTTTGATATGCTTAATAGTTATGTTGTATTCTTGTAGCAACAAACTCCATCTAGTCAGTCTTTGATTTTTGTTTGACAATTTATGCAAAAATGTCAGGGGGTTGTGATCCGTATATACAAGAATTGGATGCAAAGTAACATTCAGATAAACATCAAAATGCTGTAAGGCTAACAACAAAGCAAGGCATTCCTTTTCAATGGTGGAATACTTTTGTTGACATTTTGTAAGTTTCTTTGAAAAATAAGAAACAACTCTATCTACCTTATCACTATGTTCTTGAAACAAAGCTGCCCCGATTCCAACATCACTAGCATCAACAGTAAGCTTGAACTGCTTAGAAAAATCTGGAGTTGACAGAACTGGGTTGCTCATAAGGACAGATTTGATTTTATGAAATGATTTTTCACAGTCCTTTGTCCATTCAAAGTTAACCCTCTTTTGTAAAAGATTTGTAAGTGGACTTACAACTGAGGAAAAATTTGGACAAAATTTTCTGTAAAACCCAGCCATGCCCAAAAACCTCATTAACTCTTTCTTGTTTGTAGGAATCGGGAACGTTGCAATAGCTTCCACTTTAGCCATTATGGGTGTAACATAACCTTGACCTACTTTATGACCTAAATACTCTACATAAGCATGACAAAATTAACTCTTTTCAAGGTTCACAGTTAAGTTTGCTTTAGCTAAAATGTCAAATAAAGCACGCATGATTCGGAGATGTTCTTCCCATGTGTTGCTGTATATGACGACATCATCACTGTAGGCCTCGCATCCCTCAAGGTCTTGAAGAAGGGAGTGAATCATCCTTTGGAATGTAGCCGGTGCGTTTTTCATGACAAAAGGCATTACTTTATATTGGTAAAGTCCATCTGGTGTAGCAAAAGCAGATATTTCTTTTGCTCTTTCTGTTAACGGTACTTGCCAGTAGCCTTTCAACAGGTCAAATTTACTGACAAATTTGGCGTTTCCAATGCGGTCAATACAGTCATCGATTCTAGGTATTGGAAATGAATCAGTTTTGGTAACAGAATTCACCTTTCTATAGTCTGTACATAATCGGTACGAACCGTCCTGTTTTGGTACAAGAATACATGGTGAGCTCCAATCACTTTTACTAGGTTCAACAATGTCATTGTCCAACATGTACTGCACTTCCCTTCTTAGGTACTGCAATTTTATTGGATTCAGACGGTACGGATGTTGTTTGATAGGCAGAACGTCACTCACTATGACATCATGACAAGCTGCATTAGTTTTCTTTGGAACATCAAAGATTTGATGATACTCATTCATCAAGTTTTTAACTTGTTCTTTTTGGTGAATGTTCAAATGTCCAAGTTTGGCATCCAAATTAGCCAAAACTTCTGAGTTTTTCAAACGAACACTCTGATTACAATCTTTCTCATTCATCTCTACACTCGTATCACTTTCAATACAATTTTGAACAGTCTTAGCATTGGCTAAAGTGGAAACTGGTTTTACAGAATTTCGGTCACACCTTTCAAAATACTCTTTTAACATGTTAATGTGACAAACCCGTTTCTCTTTACGTCGACCTGGTGTCTTAACTACATAGTTTACATCACTGATCTTGCTTTCAATTTCATAAGGGCCATAAAATCTGGCCTGTAAAGGATGACCAGGAATAGGTAAAAATACAAGAACCTTATCACCTGGCTTAAACACCCTATTTCTGGCATCTTTGTCATACCACATTTTCATTTTCATCTGAGAATTCTTCAAATTGTCTTGTGCTAATTTACAAGCATTGTAAAGTTTTTCTTTGAAATCAGACACATAATCTAAAAGATTAAGATCAGTAATCTCAGTCAGCCACTTTTCCTTCAACAATTTCAAAGGACCTCTAACTGTATGACCGAACACCAATTCAAAAGGACTGAACCCAAGAGACTCCTGGACTGCTTTTCCTGCAGCAAATAGTACAAGATGAACCCCTTCATCCCAGTCTTTTTCATACTGGTAACAATAGGTCTTCAGCATTGTTTTTAGGGTTTGATGAAAACGTTCTAGCGCTCCCTGGGACTCAGGATAATAAGCAGTTGATCTATATTGCCTTATACCCAACTCATGCATGACTTGCTGGAACAACCCCGACATAAAATTTGAGCCTTGATCCGACTGAATTGCCTTTGGTGCTCCTACAAAACTGAAGAACTTGGTTAGGGCCTTAACTATGCTCTTTGCCTTTATATTCCTAAGAGGTATGGCTTCAGGGAATCGAGTGGATGTACACATAATGGTAAGTAAATACTGGTTCCCAGATCTGGTCCTAGGCAAAGGTCCTACACAATCCACCAACACTCGACTAAACGGTTCTTCAAAAGCTGGAATTGGTTGGAGAGGGGCGGATGGTATCTTCTGATTCGGTTTACCTACCATCTGACAGACATGACACGACTTACAAAACTCAGAAACATCCTTCCTTAACTTAGGCCAATAAAAATGACTCAAAATCCTATTATAAGTCTTATTGATACCTAAATGACCAGCCATAGGTGTATCGTGAGCTAAACTCATGACATCTCGACGATAAGCAGCTGGGACCACTATCTGATGAACAACACGCCACACTTCATCTGGGGATGCGTCAGGTGGTCGCCATTTTCGCATAAGGATGCCATCTTTCATATAGAAGCATTCTCCAACTTTAGTAGCCTCTTCTGGTGGAAGTGCCCTCTTACTAAGTTGAATGATATCTGGGTCTTTATGTTGTTCAGAGAGTAAACGTTCTCGGCTGAGGATGTCCTTGCCTTGGCTAACTAGTGGATGCAACTCATCATCCTCACCACCAAATTTTGGTAACAGTTCTTTCTTCTCTTGCGTCTTGATATTGTGTGGTTCCATGCTTGTTTGAGTGCCATCAAGGTCAGATAAGAAAGTGTCATTCAAATCAATATCAACAGAGGAATTCGTCTCGTCAAAGGCTTGAGTATTGTCTGCCTCCATTTCTCGTCTCTCTGGCCATCGCTCAAGTAACAGCACAGGCTGGATAAATGTCATCATCTTCATCATCGCACATGACATCTGGAGTGATTTTCTCACAAACTATAGGATCTGGTACAACTTTTCCACCAGCTAAATCGTTGCCTAGCAACAAAGAAATGCCTGGAACAGGAAGAGTAGGTCGAACACCTACGATAACAGGTCCAGTAACTAAATCTGACTTCAAACTAATTCTATGCAGGGGAACATCAATGACGCCTAGCTCCACACCCTGTAATAAAACTGACCCACCAGTAGAAGTCTGCTCAGACAAAGGAAGCACGCCCTCTAACAATAACGTCTGTGCAGCACCAGTATCTCTCAAAATCTGGACAGGTTTTATTTCGCTAGAGTCACCGAGTGAAACAAATCCCTGAGACATAAAGGGCTTATAATCCTCCATAGAATCAATAGAACTGGACTGTGAATCCTGGACATCAGGAGTGTCAGAACAAATCGACACCTCTAACTGCCCCACAAGCATGTGGTTGAGTTTTGTCAAAATCATTTTTTCTCTTAAGATTAAAGCATTCACTGATCAGATGACCCTTTTTCTTACAATAACTACAAGTAGTAAGCGACCCTATTCCAGAAGATCCTTCAAAACGTCCTGGACCGGACTTAGAACCACCTTGGGATGGAGACTGGGAACTCGTGAAAGACTGAGACCCTGAACCACTCTTTTTATATGTGTCTGAATTTGTAGAATTACTGCTAGTCTGAGATCTTGATACAAACACTACTGGACGAAAAAAGTGCTGAGAATCCCAAATTTTACTGATAATGTTTGATAATTACTGATACGGTGCTGTTGTTGCTGATAAATACTGATATTTACTGTTATTATTACTGTTGTTGCTGATAATTTTTGTTGTTTCTGATAAATACTGATAATTACTGTTGCCTTTTACTGTTGAGTCTGATAAATACTGATAAATACTGTTGATGTACTGTCGTTGCTGAGAATTGCTGATAATTACTGTTGAGGTACTGTCGATGCTGAGTTTTACTGATAATTACTGTGATCATTGTTTTTAACCTGGTAATTTGTTTAAAATAAAACAGAGGGCTATATAAACCTTCAATTATTACTTCTTTTACTTGAATTATCATGACAAAATTTTCATATTTCTTTAAATATTCTGCTTCTGACAAAATTACATGACTATGTATGTATGCTGATCTCAATTTCTACATTACGTTTGTGAAAATTTTGACAATAATCAAATGAATTATTAATAAAATGAATATATAGAAATAGAATTAATAAAAAAA